CTGATAGCCTGCCTCACATACCTGAAGTACTGTGAAGTGACCAGAGTCAGCTTACTCTCTCCTGCCCCGAAGGACACAGCTGGTGACTAGAAATTGCAGAGTAGCAGACCTTTATTCAGTAGAGCACAGACTTTCTCTTGGTTATAGCCATGGGATCAGAGAAGCAGCTGCCTTCTCCCTTCCAAAGTGGAGGCTTCTGCTCAGCAGAGGCTGGATGACTCTGGTTTTTGTATTTGGACGGAAATAGAATATAACCCTCTCTTGACCCTGCAATTCTCTCAGTGTGGATTAAGAGGGGAGAAGTCCCCTTTCATCATAGCTAGCTAGCTTTCTTTCTTCTTTTTTCTCTTATTTTGCTGTGTGAGGATTGAATGCAGAACCTTATACACGCTGGGTAAGTTCTCTGCCACTGCACTGCATACCCATCCCCTTTCATTTTACATATCTTGCTTTCATTGTCCAGAAGGAGAAGCCCTGAACAGTGTTGCCTTCGTTCAGCCAGGATCTCTTGAGCACTGCTAGTGAGCTAGGATCTGTGCTTGGGCTGGTGATGCACAAAAAGAGAGACATATTGGCCCAAAGGAGTGTATAGTTGAGTCAGGGAAACAGAATCTACTTGGTAGTTTAGCAAATGTCTTTTTTGGGGGGGGGGGGTACCGGGGATCGGTCGGGAGCAATGGTACATAATTTTAGGGAAAAATCATTTGCTTATCTTAGTTCTCCTGCCTACAGCCCAGCTATGGAATTACAAGACATAATTCCATTTTGGCCTCCGGTAACAACTGAGACCTCAATGATCTGGTGATGCTGTGATTCTCCAGGACAAGAAACATCCTGGGAGCTGAAAACATCCTGGGAGGAACAAACATGTACTCAGTTCCTCGTTGTTCTTGGATTGTTACATCTTATTTACACAAAATGTACTGAACTCTCTGAAAGTCATTTGTTACATTTGTTTCTCCCGGATGTATTGAGTCCTGAATAAAAGGTGTGGTAAACTGGGGGCTTTTGTTTTTGCTGCCCAGAGCAGCACTGATCAGATACAAATCTTAGCTTCTTCTCGGTCTCATTTTTCTACCTTTCCTGTAATTTGCCTTGTGCTGCCGTGGCTTACAGGAAACTAGGACTTACTGCAGAGATTCTAGTAACGTCCTCTTTCCCTGTTCCCTACAGGGATGGAATTTAGGTCCTTGTGCCTGCAGCAAATGTAGTCTTAAGCTGTGAGATACTTAAATTGCTTAAGCATTTCATACTAGAAGAAGTTTCAGAAAATGAAGATAAGGTGATAAACAGTGGTTTTGAAAAGGACACCCATTACAATATAAGTAAAATGTATTTTCTCTTTGAGGCTAGCTACATAATGTAGATTAGTGGCCGAAAGCAGTCTTGATTCGCTAAGCTGTCTGTGTAGATCTCAGTTCTTACTAGATGTGTAACTGCTCTGTGCCTCAGTTTCCTCATCAGGTCATTGGGATGGTAATGGTAACTACTCCATTTAGTTGTTATGAGAATTGAATTAACATACATCATAGTACATAAACCAACACCTGGCCCACAGGGAACACTCCCACAATGCTAACTACTGTCTGTTTCCTTTGGAGTGCCATCCTGTTCCCCTGGATTTTGGTAATGTGGTTTAATGTCCCAAATCATTTTTATTAAAGGAACACAGAAACCAAGGATCAAGACGTTGGTGAAAAGAAGATCAAAAAGGGAAGAAAGCTTCAAGCCAGAGAGGAGGATATCAGCTTTTTAAGAATTTATGAAAAAGGTATGAGTGAATAATTGTTTATATTGTCTCCAGTCGGCTTAGTGAGCATCAGAGTTATTCAGGAACATTTCCCAGATATTATATATAATGTTCCTACATTTGATAATTTCTTCTTCCATCTTCAGTCCAAATTTTCTATTACTTGCCAGTTGTACAAGGTATGATCAAAATAAACAGTGAATGTTTAAACTTTTAAAAATTTATTACAGTAAAAAAATTTTCCCTCTTGCTTTGAGCACACTTATCCCATCATTCTTGCCTCTTCCTGTAGCAGTTCTAGAAATCCTCTTTCGTGAGTGTCTTTATGAGTTGTGATAAAAATACAGTGACTGCTGCTGCTAAATGCCATTCAAGCAAAAGGCAGGCTTGTGAAAATAGTACTGTGTGTCTGCATCCACTGTATTCACCACAGTTGGCACCATGTGACTTCTGGCTCTTCCCCAAAGTCAAAATGACCAGGAAAGGTAAATATTTTGAGTTGATTCAGGACATCAAGGTAGTCACAAGAATGCAACTAAAGACTCTCACAAAAGAAGACTTCCAAGCCAGGTGTGGTGGCACACACCTGTAATCCCGGCAATCAGGAGGCTGAGGCAGGAGGATCAGTTTGAGGCCAGCCTGGGATACATAGTGAATTTAAGGCCAGCCTGAACTACATAGCCACATCCCATCTTTAAAAAAAAAAATGAAAAAAGAAAAAAGAGAGAGGACATCTAGAACTGCTTCAGAAAGTGGCAAGATTGATGGGATAAGTGTATTCAAAGCAAAGGAGAATATTTTGAGGAAGATTAATGGCAATATATCTTTTACTGTAATAAATTTTAAACCATCATATTTTTAAATGACACCTCATAACTTCATCAAGTTTTCTTTCAAAAACAATCTGTTGGCCAATATCATCAGCATCTTGTACATTGTCTGAATATATGTTTAGCTTCTGATTGTCTAATGTGTGCAAAAGAATTTTAAGTTTAGCTCACACAGATGTTGCAGAATCCAATAAGAAATAATCTGTTATAGAATTTAATTGGGGTCCACAATAATCTGAACATTAGAGTTTAACCTTAATTTCAAAATCATTTTGCTATAGAGCTTTAGACTTCTGATATACCAATTATAAATGATGCTCTCCTATGTTTTATGTTCTTTCTAACTCGGGAATTAAGTAACTTCTAACTCAGGAATTTTAACTCTTTCAGGTCATCTGTTATCCCTTCCCCAGTCCCTTATTACTGTTTTCCTTTCTCAGTCTAATTTTGTGCACAGGATGCTGGCCCCAGTGGACTGTGTCTCCCTGGCTTCCTTCTGGCCAATGGGAAGCTCTGGCAGAAGAGCAAAGGGCAGGAGAGAGGTTAGGGTTTACTTCTCCTCCCTTTTTATTTTGGTTCCTTATGTCTGGAAGAAATGGTGGCCCTACCCAAGCACAGCCTCTGTGTGGCAGCCTGTCCTTCCCAGTTCCAGCTGTCTTTCCTGGGTTCTAATAATTGTCCTCCCAACCCACTCTTGAGACTTTGGCTTCCCACTTCTGCCCATCCCTGGATGCCTTGCAATTCCTTGTTTGTTCCTTTAACTCTATGCCTTCGTATGTAGTCACTTCATAAAGGAATCTTTCTCTGTACTGTCCATGGGTACATTTTTCTTCCTTCAAATCCTGACTGGCACAGGACCCAGTCAGTATTTGTAAGCATTTTTCTAGTATTGAATACACTGGGAATATAATTAGTGTCATCAATGCCCATAGCTATGGTAGGGAGCTGTAGAATGTTAGGAGGGAAAGCTACTAACTGTTTTTAGAAAGATCCTATCTCTATATAATAGAACAACTTTTGTAGGTGAAACAGTTTACATTACAGAGAACGCTGATGTGAATTCTGAATTCTGGCACTCTTTGACCTAGAAAGTAATCAGGTTGTTTCTTTTTTTTTTCTTCCTCCATTTTTGGAAGCTACTGGGTTGGTCTGAACCAGCTAGGTAATGAGATATCATATGTTTGCAAGTCAGAGCTATTGTTTGGTGATAAGATGAGCAGACTTAAAACATTAGTGTCAATAAACACTGAAGACAAAGACTTGAAATTCAGACCAAGTTGCTTAACTTATAGTTATATGTTTACAATAAATTCAATTATAAAGTGAAATTACTGCCAACTTTGATTAAATCAGTGGTAGAATCAGCACAAGAACAGTTTGCATATGAAGGAGTACAGAAGATGCTGTAATTACTTTGCAATTACCTTACATCTCCATGATTCACTGTTGATCATACTCTCCCTTGATTATAAAGAACAAAATTCTTTTCCCTTGAATTTAGTTGAATAGAAAGTATATTCTTTTTGTCTTTAAAATTGTACATACTGAGATGGGGATATTGCTCAGCAATAAAGTGTGTGTCTAGCATCTTCAATGCACTGGTTTTGAGCTTTAGCACCACAAATAAGAATAATAGGAACAATAAATGTACACATCAATTTTAAGCTCCCTTCTTTGTCCTTTAAAACTTGTGTGCACAGGATAATCGTACTGGATCAGAGTGACTTGTCAGACTGACTGGAACTGGATCATAGATGGATTCCAGCCTGATTTTGAGCATCCTGGTTGTGAGCTCCTTTCTTCTCTCGTCTGCTTCAGTTGCTATCAGGGCAGCAGTTCAAGTTCCATATCTCACACTTTGTTCAGCTGCTATAGTAGTCATGGTGGTTTGACTCTGTGTATAGGCAGCATGTTTAACCATTTGCTTCCAATCAGATTCCTGAAAATTGTGAGGTAGTTGTAATTTAAAAAATGTCTCATTGTGCCCAGTATGGTTTTTGGTTTTGTTGATGTAAATTTTTGAAAACTTTACTTTTGTTACATAATAAACTTTATTTTTCCTACCAGTTGGGTTGCAGCTGTGTAAGATATATTTCTTTGTTTGAGTCTGGGAGTTGAGGGAAAGGACCTGCTATCCAAAGAGCCTTCAATTCCTATTATAAGTTTGACACATGGGCAGCTACTGCTATGGTTCATCATACAAACTGGCATTAGTTGTCCTCATTTTGTAACAGAAATATCGCTCAACCACTTAGCTGAAATTGGCATATTCCCATGCCATTTTACCATTGCCATTATCTCTAGGAGATAGCCATAAAATGCTAAGGTGTTTGGAACTCTTTAAGGTGAACGATACCATCTCCATATATTTTAGATTATATACTTTACATCATGAGTTTATTAGGGAAATAAAATTGGGTAAGATGAAGATCACAACATTTTGTCTAATTTAGTCTCTTGTGATTACTAACCAGATGATATGTGCATCTAGTCTGGTTTCTGAAGGATTTGTATACTTCATTACCTCCAGTTTGGAATCTTTACATAGAAATAGGAAACTTCTCTTGAAAGCTATTTACTGCTGCATGTGAAGTACTGTCCAGTACACATTTTATTGTATCTTGATGAGTATGGAAAAGGTCTTTTGTTTGTGAGAACTAAATAGTTCCTGTTGTGGATGGTCGTATTCATACTTCTTAGCCTCCAGAAATTTTACCCTGCGCAGATCAAATGGGAAGGTACAGATTTATTTGGCTCTTTTAAAGCAAGGAAACAGTTGCTTGGCATTATAAGCAAAGAATCACCAGAAAACAAAATTAGTTTATAAATACTATGTGTAAGAAACTTGGAGGGATACAGAGACTTACAATACAGTTTGCTTCTCAAGCAACTTATTCTGATGAGACAAAATGGATACATGTTAAAATGTAAGGATTAATAAGAGACGTACCGTAGTGGTGAGTTATGACGTTACCTATTAGTATGGATTAAACACTTAACAATTTACCCTGAGTGTCACTCAGGCAGTGCGTTTGTTTACATACTGACTATACTGAGCATTGATCGGGCAGGTGTCATTTCAAACAGTCAATTCTTGTATGGAATAAATTTGATAAAATTATTGTTTTTTAATTTCTTGCCAGGGATTTAGCTTAGTGGTTTTGCTGTCTAATGTATGAGTGCAAGGACCTGAGTTTGATCCCTGGTACCAAAAAAAAAAATTAAATTTCTTGTTATCTTATAAAAATTAATGAAAACACATTAATTTCTGGTCATCCTGTATTTAAATAATTGGACTAGTCAGTAGTTAAGGCTACAGGTCCTACACCAAACTTTGGCTGGTAAGGATTGTAATCCTACTCTGTAAACAGAGTAGGTTTCTATCTGGCTATGGACTGAGAAATATTGGTCAACATTAGGCATAAAAATGTCGATAGTTATTGTTTATATGTCATAGGACAACTGTTATATACCAGGTACTTTATATACATTAGTCCTTTTCTTGCACATGATAGTCCCACTGGTTTTTTTATTTTTGTACTAGGAATTGAACTCAGGGCCTCTTGCTTGCCAGGCAGGCACTGTGCCCCTGAGCTACATTCCCACCCCCCACTGTTTTTAAGGGTGCTTCTCCCATTCCATCTGTTGTTTCAGACCTCCATCCCTCACTTCCTATTAACACTCAACAGATGACGTCACTTCCAACTTTACAAAGAAAATGGAAGCCTTCAGCTCCCCACCACCTAAACTCCTAACGTGACTACCTCTGTCTCCATTGAACAGAGGACCAGTTGTTGGTGAAGCAGTCTAACCTGACCTGGAGATGGACCTATTCTGCACCTCTTCTTTCCACTTGCCTCCTGTTAATCTAGAAGTGATGTCCCCCCTCCTGTCCTAGAGCAATCTCATCTTCTGCCCATTGAGGGTTTTCCTTCATGTGTGGCATCTCTGTTTTCAGTAGCTTCAACTCCTTCCTCTTCCTCCTTCTCCTCCCCCTCCCCCTCCTCTTCTTTTTTTGAGACAGAGTCTCGCTATGTAGTTCAGGCTGGCCTTGAACCCAGAGCAATCCTCCTGCCTCACCTCCCAAGTGTTGGGATTACAGGCGGGCACCACCATGCCTGGCTATGTACCACACTTTGAAAAGAGAGGACTTAGAGGACCTTCTCTTAAAGCACTGGTCCTTAGTCCTGGTTGTACATTAGAGCCATCGAAGGAGTTTGTAATAAATACTGTTGCTCAGGCCTCACCCCTAAATTATCTGACTTCAGCTGAGGCAGAGCATGGGCTTGTAAACACTCTCCAAGGGATTCTAATATGCAGCCAGGATTATGAACTATTATCCTAAGGAGAAAATTGGACTGTACACAAAGATGTATTTATATAAAAGATGTTTATTGCAACATTGTTTATAATATCAAACAATTGGAGATAACCCGTGTCCAGATATGAATTCATTGACACAGAAAAGTATCTATGATGTATTTTAGAATAATGCTAATAGGAGTATGCTACCAGGTGTAATAGCACCCTATCCATGTAACTTTATTTTTTTTTAGTTTTTATTTTTTTTGGTACCGGGGATCAAACTTGGGACCTTGCGCTTGCAAGGCAGGCGCCGGAACCACTGAGCTAAATCCCCGGCCCTCTAAGTAACTTTATAAATAAATGTCTACGTATGGTAAATGCGTAGAGAGATACATGGAAAGATGCTTTTTAAAATAATAAAGTGGTCTTTTCAGGTGATTTCAACTTTGTATAATTTGTAAAATCATATAATTTGGGGAAGTAAAAAGGATTTAGAAATACCTAAAACTTGAATCAGTTGGAGGTAGCACTGGAATTTCATAATTAACCATCAATTTAATCCATTTTATTGAAGAAAAATTGTTTAAAAGAGTGGTTAATATAAAGCATAGAAAAACGAGGCTGACATCCCTAACCCCAGTGATCCTTCAGAGTCAGTAATAGAATGTTGGATATGGTGGTGTCTGTGTCCAAAAGAGAGCAGGTGGGGAACATGTAAAAGGTAAGAGTCTCTTTTTTAGAATTATCATCCAAATTGGGAATTCACTCTTCAAAAATCAAGAGAGTAACCAGTCTCTGATGGTGGGATTGCTAATACAAGATCACAAGAAAAGACGTTAACATTTATTGTGTAATAGCCACTTACCAGGCATTGGTTTCCCAGTGAAGAAACTGAGGCTCAGACAATTCAGGTAACTTGTCAGAGGTGTACAAGTGTCATTTTTGATCAAAACCAATATTACTCTGGGGATTTAGCTCAGTGGTTTCACCGCCTACTGCGCAAGCACAAGGACCCGAGTTCAATCCCCGGTACCTAAAAAAAAACAAAACAAAAAAACCCAATATTAACTGGGCCGGGGATTTAGCTCAGTGGTTCCAGCACCTGCCTTGTAAGCGCAAAGTCTCAAGTTCAATCCCCGGTACCAAAAAAACCCCCCAAAAAAACCCCCAATGTTAACTCCAAATGTCTTGTGTGATACTACCTGGACCAAGAATTTGAGAATTTATGATCTTAGTAATCTAGATTTTTTTACTCCACAATCATGAAAACCACCTCAGAAACCCCTAAAAGCCTGGTGCTCTATTTTTTGACTTGTATAGAGTGCAGTTTCACACAAAATTGGGGCAACTTTGTACAGTACAAGATAACTTATTAAATCTGTTGCTAACATGACATGATAACCTTGAATAGCCTTGCTTTCAAACGATTTTCTGGCAGACTTCTCTGGATGAGTCCTTGAGAAATCCTACTACTGGGGAGAGTAAGGAAGGGTCTGGAGCCTTCTTTATATGAGGAAATCCCCAGTTTGTTTAGAACTTGGCCAAAGGCTTGGTCGTCTCAAGTCCAAAGATAAATTCAGTTTCCTCTTGGGTATTGCTTGGTTTTCTCTGAAGAATTATGGCTGTATGAGAGGATGTTTAATAGGACACTCCTTCCTTTATGACATCATCAGAGAAGTAGCTAAGGGGATTCTTTGAAACACTCTTAGAACAACAGCCAGTTTGATGGGAGCCCAAGAACAGCAGCTTTTAAAAATAAGGGTAAATAATAAGGCTTCAGTAGAATCCAGAAGACAAGCCAGCTGATAAAATATGGCATCTACACAGAAGGGCACAGTCTTTCAGATACTCAGGACAAATAAATCTGGATCCAAGGTAGCACATAGAGGACCTGAGTTTACTAGCCCCACCTCCCAGCGGGGACACGAGTACATTTTTGCCACAAGCCAGCAAAGTGCTGCCGTCTCTGGGAGCCCTCCTCCCCAAAGAGCTGAAGCTGCGCCTCCCACTACTTCCCATTCAGCATCATACTCTCCTCACACCGTGTCCCCACAGTCAGGGCCCAGCCTCTATACAGCATCCACCCCTAGGGGAACTGAGACCCGACCACGCGTTTCCAATCCTCAGCAAAAGAGTCAGCAAGTTCATACAGCACCTCCCCATCCTGTAAGCATACATCGTAATGTCAAAGAGGAAGCAACTCGAAGAGGGGGTGAGATCAAGCCAGGGTGTGAGGTTGGCTGTCGCACCTCCTTGACCCCAAATGCCAAATCCTCCTGCCTCTTGAGTTTCATAGATGAGAAGGATACTTTAGAATCACAAAACTTACAAGAGGATCCGCCTTCCAAGGTCCAGAACCCTCAAGGGGTCAGAGTTCCTCGTAGGATTTCATCTTACCCAAAGGATGAAGCAGTACAAACCGAGCCCACTGGAAAGATTTTGACTGGTGAGGTCAGATCTCCAAGGAGTCCCACTAGCCCAGAGCATGGCAGCAGCCGGGTCGCTACAGACCACCGGGCAGCTCATAAAAGGAGTCATGGCCAAGAGTCACAAATGGATCCTTACACATCAGTTCTTTTAGAACCTAAGGCCTTGCATAGGAATATGAAATTGACATCATCCCTCAAACTCTCTGTCCTTAAAGATTTAGATGGTGGACATCGAGTTCCTCCTAGACATTCAGAGCATGAGTCTCTCTACAAACGTTCTGTCTCCACTGAGACTAGACCCTCAAAGGTCTTAATATCACCAGATGTGGAGCCCAGTGTGAGATCCTCAATCCGAGACAACGAAGTCAGCTGCAGGGTCACCATGTCCTCACCACGACAGTCAGTGCAGTCAACTCTTCATCCTACAGCTCGAGCAGTGCCTGACAGCCCTCGAAAATCTCTCATGTATGTCACTCCAGAGTCCATCCATAAGCAGCAAATCCAAAGACCCGCAGAAACTAACTACATGTACTCAGGACCTGCAGTCAGGTATCCAGAACCCTCTCGAAAGCCCTCCATTCATGCAGAACTGGAACTGACTCCTTGGCCCTTAGCCCCTCGGTCCTTACCTAAGTATGGTCCTGACTCCTCATGGTGGGCCTTACTGAATCCTCAAGTTGAAATGCCCCAAAGCTTGTCAACAACACTCGATTTTGAGCCTAAGTCCCCTCTCCTCCTAGACACTTCCGAGTCTCTTTATGAAATGGACTCAATTCCTTTCTGTGAGGACCTGATATTCCAGAGAGAGAAGGCAAGCCCACGACTACCACGATCACCAAAGGAGTCTTCAAGCCAGTTACCATTGAGAGAAGTTCCACAGGACCCCAAGTACACCAACAAACAGCTCAAGCAAAGGTTTAATGCTTTCTTCCTGGGTATGTGAAGAAGACTGCCCAGGTGCAACCTTGATTTAGTGAGATGGGACACTGGGGTGGGCAGGAAAGGGCCCCTCTTCAGTCTTGGCCTCAGGGCTACTCTGCCACCAATGCCAAAGCCACTCTTATCCATGAGCCCAGTGTTCCATGCCTTTCCTGCCAGCTTCTCTGAGCTCCAGGCTAATGACATTGATGGTGATGCTTGTGACAGGTGTCAGGCATCGACTCTTCCAAGCAATGGTACTTTTCAATGGCATATAGTAGAGAGTGGTTTGCAGGGTCTGAAGCTGATTTCTGAGAGTAGAGATGAAGAACTGAGCAGGGTTGAGGGCTAGGAAGGGCTGTTATGAAGGGTAAGGGCCTCGGCAATATTCTGGCATCAAAGTGGAATAGGTGAGGACTAGATGAGCTGGGACTTGGGCTTCTGGGAGGGGAAAAGTGTTAAGAGTGGTGGAAAAAGAGAGAGGGAATGGGAGTGTGATACTTGGTCAGAAGTGGGTGGAGCTTCCTGGAGAAGACCAAGGGTTGAGTGCACCTTTGGGTGGAGACATAAGCTAGAAAGGGAGGTACAAGCAGTGAGGGGAGAGCTGTCACCTGACAAAAAAGCAACAGTCTCTCTGTTACTTTTAGATGTCTCTGAGGAAATGCAAAATCGAATCATCTGGTGGCTAAAAGGTCTGTACTTTTCCCTCTTGTGGGTCTGTTGTGGGCCCTGGAGGATAGCAAGATAGGTGAGAGGGTGGTATCCCTGTTCCCTGTTCCTGTTATAGAGAGAGTTTGAGTACATGCTCTGAAGGAGCAGGGGAAGTTTTCCTCGCCTCAGATTCTATCATTAGAGCCATCCATTTGGGAATTTGAATTTTTTTGTTTGTTTTCAAGAGTCTCCTTTAAATGAGAAATCACTTCCAGAATGAAGACAATTTAAGTCCTCATTGCTTTTTCAGCTTAGCTGGTGTTGTCATGTGCTAAAGCAAAACAAAACAACAAACCAAGGAAACTGCCTGTTTCATAGTCTTGCTCAGGGCTGAGTCCACACTAATTCAGGTTTGGGCTCTCTTTTCATGTGTCTCTTTGGCTCCTCAGAGCCCTCCTCAAGCCCCTACCCTGTACCTTGAATGTATTTAATGGGTGCTGCTCGGGCAAATCTCGAGGGATGTCTGGGCTGTCCCCTCGAGGCCCTCAGTGGTTCTCACAGCCAACTCTAGAATCCTTAAGAGAAGTGTCCTTGGCCTTGTATGACCCTCTTGCTTCCTTAGTACTCATGGACTGGCTGGTGCCAGGGGAGTGTGAGGACTCTTGGCAGCAGGGAGTTTTTGGTTTGAGCATTGTGGCCCGAGTTAGTTCTGAGCTCTGGATGGAGAAATTCCTGGGTAGGAGAGAGCCCACAACCAGCATGAGCTCTGAACTATGGATAACAAAAAAGCAGAAAAGGGGAAGCCAAGCTTCTTAAAGTAGGTGTGTAGTGAAGTATGGATTCAGAAATTGTCTTATTGGGTTTGAACCCTGAGTCCAGTATTTTCTGACCATGACCTTGGGTATATTACTTTTCCTCTCCAAGCCGTAGTTTCACTTATTACATTCTATAATGGCTTCCTCAAAGGTTATTGTGAAGATTAACCAAGCTATTACATGAAAAGCATTTAGCATGGTACTTGGCAACAGGGAGCATTCAGTAAATGACAGCTGTTGTTACTAGGAAGGGATTTGGCCAGCCAGGTTGTGCTGAATTCCACTGGGCATCTTTAGTAAAACTCTCTTTTTCTCTTCCCGTTGGCACTTTCTGAATTCCATTTGCTGCCCCCTGGGAATGCCTGGCTTCTACTCTTATTACGACAGATGAAGAGGTAAGAATGCTCCTGGGAAGTTATTTCCAGTTTTCCTCTGTGCTCCTGCCCCTTAGCCAAGTCCCACTCCTGTCCTCTGATGGAAAGGGGTATGGAGGGAAACACTGCTGGTCCCTGTGGTTGGGGAGGTTATGCACTGCAAAAGGGCACCTGTGTTCCACTTGCAAAGCTGTGTACTTCTTGTGCTGTATCTCCCCCCAAGAGAGATTTGCACAAAAGTGCTACATGAGCTATCTGCAGCTCTGGAGAGAAAGAATAGAGATTTTTTGGAAGATGATGAATATTGCCAAGTGCTCTATAAGAAGACTGGGCAGCCATGGGTTGGATTGGTCCCCGTTTGGCTTCTCCCTCTCCTGCCTGGGATACTTCAGAAAGGGGTTGCTTTTCTGAGTCATGTATTGTTTGAGTTCTCAGTTTGGAACGGCATAGGTGGGCTCTGCTCTTGGCAGCTCTGGGTCCTAAATATGGCAGTGTCCTGATTTCACAGTGCATTTTTAGTCCCCATAAATACTTTGGCTCTTCTGGGCATGTTTGATAAGATGGTCAAACCTTTTCCTGCTTCTATTCTTTATCTTAACCATATTCCTATCTTATCCAAAGCCTAGCAGTGGCCCCTAATGGGTCTCATCCATAGGCTGACCAGCCTAGGATGAACAGTTGACTACAGATGGAAACCAAGTGGGGGGTGGGGAGTGCAACTTGAGCTTAACAAAACAGCTGAAGGGGAGGTGTCCAGGAGTGTGGCTGCCACCCCCTCTGCTATGAGTTCTTATCCAGCCCAAGGCCCTGAGCTCAGCTGTAGATGGGAGCAGCCACTTTTAAAGAGTGTTGCCCATGAAAAACAATAAATCCACCCTTCCCCTCTTTCTTCCTTCCGTCTCTCTCCTTTCCATAGATAATTCTTATTCAGATACCTAGCACTCCACCAGCAGCTATTGGGGGAACCTTACAATACACACCTTCTTTGGCTTTGAGAAACTGACCACCTGGATCGGGAGATAAGTCATGCATAGGAAACATTTAAACAACAATATGCAGTAGTCTGTGTCAAAAAGCAGCTGGACGTGGTGGCACATGCCTGTGATCCCATCACTTGGGAGGCTGAGGCAGGAGGATCACAGTGAGTTTGAGGCCAGCCTGGGCTACATAGTGAGTTCAAGGCCAGCCTGAAGTACATAGGGAGACCCTGTCTCAAAACACACACACACACACACACACACACACACACGCACACAGTACTCTTGGAGGGTCTCAGGAAAGAGGGAGTCAGCAAGATTTAGGTAAGGAGTCTAGGCAGGGGGAGATATCTTACCATCTGGCCTCTTGCTCATCCCATAATACAAGTCTATACCTTTTGGAAGGGGTGCTATTTCTCTTCATTCAA